GAAAATGCATCTTTGTTGGATATAACAAAAGAAAAAAGGGTTGGAGGTGTATGGATCCTAAAACTCATCTCTTCATTATTTCGAGGGATGTCATATTCGATGAAGTCTCTTTGTATTATAAAGTTGCGCAATAAGGGGCATGATTCTAAACCCTTGAACCTTGAAGCATCAAATCTACCCATCACAGTTACTTCTTGAGATAATGCAGTTGTCGGGGAGCTAAGAGAAAGGGGGAGCCCGAGAACTCAACGACATGAAACTCAGCAAGGAGATGATTCAAGTGTTTCAGGAAGGCCAAAAAGAGCTATTATCAAGCCAACTCGTTTCAGAGATGAAAATTTCATCAGCACATACTTATGTTCTTTTGCAGGACCAATTAAAGAACCTTCAGTCTTTGGGGAAGCAAGACTAGCCAGAAAAATAGTGCTGAAATCTTCAGCAAGACACGTCCTAAAGCATCGGTTGAGTTCTTCTGCGACAAGCTTGGGATAGCTTCCAAAAATCACTTTAAGGGGTGTGAAAAAAATAAAAAATCACTTTAAGGGGTGTGAAAAAATAAAGTTGATTTTTTGGAAGAGTAAAAATTATAATTAGAAGAAAGTTCTAGAAAGTTATGGAGTAATATCTTTGATATTTGTGGTACTTAACAAATATTCTAAAGTCTTGGATATTTAAGGAAGATATTAGTAGAAGATGATAAAATTATCTAGATTATTTTTGTATCTAGAATCATCCCTAGACAAGTATAAATAGGAGTAGCCTTAGGCACTTGTAACCAAGCCAAAATCAAGAAAGTCTTCTTTCCTAAACAAAGTTTTCCTTTTCTTCTTTAGTTGAATCTTTGAATCTTAGTTAACGATCTTGCGCTAGCAAAAGGTATCAGAATAATACTTTTCTTCTGCTATTCTTTACAAATTAATGTTAAAAGGTAGATTCCATAACTATTAAAATATTAGTTAAATGAAAAGTCTAATTGAGCAAAACAAAGCTTTGAAATTCAAATGAAAATTAAATGGAGAAAAAAGGGAAGTATGAAGGGTTCTTGTCTCTCAAAAATTAAAGATTGTTGAGGGAATTTAATGAAATTTAAGTAGTTCAAAAAGATAAGAAAATTTTAATTTGAATTGACAAGTTGTGTTCCATAAATAGGATTGAAGGGGTTAGTTGGTATAGTATATTAAATGGAGGCACCCAAAACTAACAGTTGAATGTATTAATTTCTCACACTAGTCTAATCTCTATTCAATACTACCATGTCTGACTTCCAGGCATATAGATATGCACGATTTTGACGTTCAACGGTTTTCTTTTTGTTAGAATTTAGAAAGAAAAAAAAAATGCTTTTCTTTTTAGGTAACTGAAATGTCCAAATAAAATGATACTACTAATTTTACTCTCCATTAATAGTTAAAGTCAAATACATGCATGCAATTATGAAATGAGCTCAAATATGCCTTTATTTTTGATGAAAAAGTGTTATAGTCACATTGTGAGTAAGCTAGGAACGTAACCAACAAATTCAACCTCGAGCACGTAAAATTAAATTTAATAAAGTTTTTACTCTATTTTTTCCAATTATATCCCTCAAATAATCACACGTGCGTATTGAGGTACAACAAAATCTTATTAGTAGATTACAAAAGACGAGTCAACATATTCTTACATGAAATTGTAACGAAATATTTGCTTAAGAAAAAGGATGTTGTGTAAATTGCAAAAGCAAGCAATTATGAAGGGATGCAATTTAAATGTGTTCATGATTTTGCCAAAAAGAAAAAAGAATACGGACATTAGGATAAAATGTAAAAGAATAAGGTGTGAATTGCAAAAAAAAGTGCAAAAGAGATTCTGGCACTTCTATTTAGTGGGCGTTTGGACATAAGAATTGTAAAATTTCAAAAAAAAAAAAGGTGAAAAAAGATTTCTAAGTGAAAATGGTATTTGAAATTTAGAGTTGTGTTTGGACATTACACATAATAACAACAATAACAGATCTACCACCAAAGGATGTGGTGCAGTGGATGGGACAGCTCATTCCTTAACCAGAGGTCTCGAGTTTGAGCCCTGGGTATGGAAAAATCCTTGGTAGGGAGCGCTTCCCCCCCGAATGGGGCCCTACGCGGCGCGAATCCGGATATAGTAGGGCTCCAATGCAGGTACCGGACACCGGGTGGGAAACCAAAAAAAAAAAAAAACAAATTGAGTCTAACCCCACAAGTGCTGGAGCGGATGCACGCGACACCACTTCGTCAATTTTTTTACTAAATATATGTAGTAATATTGTGAGGAAATGGATAAGTACAAAAAAATGACACGACATAAATTATCTTTTGGTGTGTTGATTATATGCTTGATTTTGTTTTAGAAGGTCGGAAGTTCAAACTTCAACTAGGTTTTTTTTTTTTTTTTTTTTTTGCAAATATTTGAGAGAGCTTGTATAGTTAAAAATTATGATAAAGTAGAATTGAACCCAAGATATTTTCTAACTTGACACTCAACAGAACCAATAGACTAAGAATATTTCTTGTCCAGAAGTATGATAATTGAAGTTATTATTCTCGTACTTCTATAAATGCGACACCGCTTACAAAATTTCCTACGTACGCCTCTGTACAAGTGGGGTCAAAGAAGTATAGTGTAGACTCAGATCTTATCTCTACCTAGTAAATAAAAAAGCTATTTTTCGGTAGACCCTCAGCTCTCAAGAGAAGGTGAAGAAGAAGAAGGAAAAGAAAGAAAAAGAAAAAGAAGAAGATGAAAATGGAGAAGTAGCACAAAAAATAACAACAAGAAAATAACATACACATAAGAAATACATACTATTAATATTTAATTAATTAAATAAATTCAACTTTAGTCCTCAACTAGAGAATATTCACGTTGTTCATCTCCCCGATTCTGCAAAATGCTCAACGGGTGCAGTTGCAAAAGTAGAATTTTCATCAAGGAAATATAAATATAAAAAAGTAAACACACGAAGAAAAGTTAAGAGAATTCACCATCTAATATATATACATGAAAGAAAAAGTTGACATTATATACATCATATAATTTTTGGCGACCCCTTCCGCCCACCTAGCTCCATCTTGACCTCCACAGCAGCACTCTTCTCCCACTTCCATTTCGGCCGAACCCGGTAATTTTAACCTAATTTTCGTATTTATCTTACAAATCTAAATTGAACTTTATATTTAATTTTTATACACAACGTAACTCTTAGATTCTTACAAATCTAATTGAACTTTATATTTAATTTATATACAACGTAACTCTTTAATTAAGTATATTCTACCGTAACTCCGTATGTGATTAGACTTGACGGTAATAAACACAATTTTAATTATCTCCAAATAAAGTATTAGTGGGAATATACCAGAATATTATTTTTTTTAAAATGAATATAAGGTGGTTAACCTTTTTGGATTTTGTAAGACTATAATTTTGTTTGCATAGAGTGGTGGTAGTGACACTTGGCTGGTTCTGTCTGTAGGACGACTCAGATATTATGTTATTATTTTAAAGAGGAAAAAAAAATACTAATTAAACAAGGAATAAATAAAGAAAATATTAAAAAACAGAAAAGAAAAATATAAAACTTGGCTCTGAAATACTTATAGTAGTGAGAGATCCAGGAAAAAGACAGCATTTCGATTTCTTCATCTCTCTCAGATTTAACCAACCCCACAAATATATTACCCCCTACCCCCTACCCTTACCCCCTACCCCCTACCCCCACCCACCAACCCAAAAATTCTTTAATCTCACCCCCTCCTCTTCTACTCAGAGGAGTTGTTCTGAACTGAACTCTCCGCCCCTTACATGTGTGTCTATACTGTATAGATTTTGAGTTAGCACTACATTGATATAAGTTATATAGAAAGGGATTTGTATATTTTTGATCGGAAAGTTTTAAGAAANAAGGGCCTACGGAGAGGTAGAGGTAGGCCAAAGAAGAGGTGGGGAGAGGTGATTAGGCAAGACATGGTGCAACTTACTAACCGTTGTTTAGTTTCATTGTTGATCACCTTACTATCTTGTTATTTTTATTATGCTTTTATATGGCTTTTTGGTACTGTCCCTTCTTGTCTATATTTTCATTAATGTGGTGCTTATGCTTTCCTGAGCCGAGGGTCTATTGGAAACAACCTCTCTATCCTCACAAAGTAGGGGTATGGCCTGCGTACACACTACCCTCCTCAGACCCCACGGCGTGGGATAATATATATATATATATATATATATATATATATATATATATATATATATATATATATATATTTTATTTGCACCGGGTGTCCGAGTCTCTAAGAGACCCGACTAATCCCGGGGGTGCACAGGCCCTCCGCAAGTGCACCACGGTTAATTCAGGTTTACCCAGTCCGATGGCCCTCAGGAATTGTTTGCACCCAGTGGGTTTCGAACTTGAGACCTTGAAAGTGAGCAAATCCCAAGGCTCAAGTCTATTGCCACCTGAGGGTTGGCTGCAACAAGTTTAAGATTTGTGATTATTGTCTGCAAAGGCGGAGCAAGGATTTCAGCTTTATGGGTTTTGAATTTTAGAACAACGACTTTAAGTGCTAATAACTGGGTTCTAAATTTAATACTTGTACATATTTAACGAATTTTTTAATACAAATACACTTTTGGAGCAGAAGTTAGTGGGTTCGGCCAGACCCGTATGTAGGCTTCTAGCTCTATCTCTGATTGGCTGGACGCAAAGGAATTCATTTCCCCCCTTTTTAATAGAAATATTTTTTTCTTTGAGAATATTTTCGCGGTGAGCATATGTTAGTAAATGATTTGATCATGGAAATGTTGTGGAAAATATTTGCCTGTGATGCCAAACACTCCTGCATCAACGTACATGATTGGGTTTTCTTTGAAGTGATCACACAGAACTATAGAGATCTTCAACATCATTTTCTAATATGGTTTCCCTTTAAGCTATCAACTTTCCTACATTGATTTTGACGTGCTTGGCCGCTCCTTGTATTAGGGGAGGTAATGGCAATTGCTGCCCAACCGGCCATGGAAGTTGCACTAAAGAAGAAACCTCCGACCAAGGAAAGGCGAGTTGTTGTGACAGGGATGGGTGTTGAAACACCGCTTGGTCATGATCCTCATGAATTTTATGAAAATCTGCTTCAAGGTGTCAGTGGCATAAGTGAGATCGAAGCTTTTGACTGTTCACAGTATCCAACAGTATGTCTTCTTCTTGGGCCTGTTTATCCAACTTTAGTTATTTAAATGTTGTTAATGAGGTCCAAATTCACAGAGAATTGCTGGAGAGATCAAGTCTTTCTCGACTGATGGCTGGGTTGCACCCAAACTTTCTAAAAGAATGGACAGGTTCATGCTTTACATGCTAACGGCTGGTAAGAAAGCACTGTCAGATGGTGGAATTACTGAAGACATTATGGATGAATTGGATAAAAGAAGATGTGGAGTTTTAATTGGCTCTGCTTTGGGTGGAATGAAGGTGATCAACTTCTTCTTTTTTCCTTTAATCGTAATTGTGATGAAAATTTCACTGGTTAAATGTGTCAAAAAAATTCTTTTCCATTTTCATTTTTTGTTTATATGCTTCTGGGATCAGCTCTATTTGGTTGCTAACATCTCATATACGGAATCAACAACCTGTACATGATTGCCCATGTACTGCAATCTCCTCCTAACCAGTATGTAGGCTCTAGAGTCTTTGCTAGAATCAAAGTAAGTGACTACTCTCTAACTGACTTGCTTTGTTTGTGCAGGTTTTTAATGATGCAATAGAGGCTTTGAGGGTTTCGTATAGGAAGATGAATCCTTTTTGTGTTCCATTTGCAACTACAAACATGGGTTCTGCCATGCTTGCCATGGACCTGGTTAGCCATTAAGATTCAGTTACTATCTGTGATTTATGATTTAAAAAATCCCAGCTTTGTGCATTTGTTTACAAACTCGATTGCAGGGATGGATGGGTCCAAATTATTCAATTTCAACAGCATGTGCTACAAGCAACTTCTGCATATTGAATGCTGCTAACCACATCATTAGAGGTGAAGCTGTAAGTTTCGTGCCTTTAAAGTCATAGAAAGCTTTCGGAAGCAGAGGATTCAGTATCATCTTACTGTTGTTCATAGAGTTCCCTATGCATTGACAGATGTGTCCCAAGGATTAACATGCTTAGTAGCTTAGTTCTCTTGTTTTTACACACTGATAATTTGCAGGACTTGATGCTGTGCGGTGGATCAGATGCAGCAATTATACCAATTGGTATATTATATGTTCTTTCTTACTTGAAGTTTGTTTATCAAGTTGAGGTTGTTGATTACCTTGTAATAGTTATAGTTTTAAATAGCTTTTGATGTTATTTTTGTTTTCTTTTGCAGGATTGGGAGGATTTGTTGCATGCAGAGCACTTTCACAGAGAAATGGTGACCCTGCAAGAGCTTCTCGGCCTTGGGATAGTGTAATGTCTTGCAAATCTTTTGCTCTTGTTCCTCTGCTTGCCCTCTAGTTGTAAACTTAAATTTTTATGTGGCAAGTAGTGGCGATTCTGGAGCACTTACGCTATTCCTATTGCAGTTCTTGGGTTTGTGATCTAATAGGAAATTAGAAATTTCCAGCTTTGTATTTTTCTTTGGTTGACTGAGTTGCCTATCCAAATTGCAGCTTCCATTCCCTGAGATTGAACTTGACGTATGTCATATTTTCTTCAGAATTTATGACCATGTATCCCCTTTGGTTTGGACTCATGTGGACTCAGTGGAAGGAGAGGCATGTGAGAAAAATTTGTAGGAATTGGAAACTCCTGTTTTTATGTTAGTGGAATAATTATATTTCTGGTATTCGTTTGGAGCAAATATGATATTCCAGTCACTATTCACAGTTGGATGCTCTTTACCATCATGCCTTTTTGCGGGATTCTCTACTTTTTGTATCCATCTTATAGGAGCATTCTTCCAATCAAATCAATAAAAATTATACTCCATTATATATTTATTTCCATGTTCTAGCTCGTACGCTGCTGTATTTAAATGACTTGTAAGATGAAGCAATAGCACTACAAAATTTCAACCCTATCATCCTCTGTGTGTGTGTGTCTCAGAGTGTGTAATTGGTGAGAATTGCTTCTTATTTTTTATCTTAATCCTGGACAGAATCGTGATGGATTTGTTATGGGTGAAGGAGCCGGAGTCCTGCTTCTGGAAGAACTTGAGCATGCCAAGGTGATTTATGCTTCAAAGTCTATAAATGCTTTCCTTCTAACCCACTTGTTGATCCTTAAACAAAATATGGAAGATAAAAAGCCAATCCCTGGCAACATAATTCTTTTAAGTTTCCTTTTTTAATTTCATGAACAGCAAAGAGGTGCAACTATCTATGCTGAATTTCTAGGTGGAAGTTTTACTTGTGATGCTTATCACATGACAGAGCCTCATCCTGAAGGTAACTCTCTCTCTCTCTCTCTCTCTCTCTCTATATATATATATATATATATATATATATATNGAAGTCATGCTGTCTCAAAGACAAACATTAATGTTCATGTCTTTTAATTCTTGCTAAGGCTTATTAGGTGGATTGAGTGTGGGAAATTTGATTACTTTCTTGAGAATTTTGAGGAAGAGGAATTTTCTTGTATTTGTTTTCCAAGCTAGGTATGGGAACGTAACTATTAATCTTTGTTTGATAGGAATGTCTTCATTGTCTCTTAAGTTTTGTTTCAGTGTCAATGTAAATATTTCAAATTTCAGCCTATTTTATGATGTCACAAAGAAGAAGGTGGGGAGCTCTCGGGACAAAATGGTACTCCCTTCGGCCCAAAATAAGTGATTTTTTGGCAAACAAACAAGTAGGCTGTGTAATTACAACCCTAGTAGTTACACCAATTTCAATTACCTGGTGGCTTTCCGAACAGACCCGTAAGTATATTTTTGAGGGAATTACACATAAATACAACTCACACACATATATTACTTTGCAAAGCCGTTGCCTAAAAATAATAGGTTAAGATTCCACATCCAACTCCATATAGGTTCTCGAAATTACTATTCATTTTTTTAAATGCTCAAGCTTTAAATCTAATTTTTGAATAAGCAATTGTGACTCAAACATTTGTTCAATAACCAAATCTATTTGGGTGGTGAAAATTAGATTTTTATGATAATCCACCATTGTTGAACATGCTTAAATAAGTGGATTTAAATTTCGAATATGGTTTTATGAGAAATTTTGATTTAATGTTGTTTAGACTTGTTAGAAATATTATAAGAAGGTTGTATACAAAATTTGAAGTCATTTAACGAAGATTGGACTGATCCATATTGTTGAACAAACTTAAATAAGTGGGTTTAAATTTCGAATTTGATTTGGTGAGAAATTTAAAGGGAGTGTCATTTAGACTTGTTAGAAATGGTATAAAGAAGTTGTATATAAAATTTGAAGTCATTTAATGGAGACTTGAACTGGGTTTGAACAAGAATTATAACTGAAAATCGTGGAAGAAGTTCGTCTACAGACTCTTGTATAAAGGTGTATAAAAGTGTACAATAGTGTATAAGATGTATTTATATACCCATATACATTATAATACAATATTATACATCATTATACAAAAACTAACTTCGTCTTCTTTCTTGCGTTTTTCATGAAATTTAACTCAAATCTTGCTCAAATCTACTCCAAACCACTTCAAATTTAAATTTTAAACTCCTTGAAATATTTTCAATCAATCGGAGTAACACCCAATCCAAACAACTAACAAACCCAAAAAATCCTAGAGCGGAACTTTGAATGGCTTTCAATGGTGGACTTCTATTCTACAATTTTCTCACATTCCAACGAGGTGACACATTTATAGAGTAACATCTTTCGAATCTGAGTTGAAATTCGAGCTTCAAAGCTCCTTCAATGGAGCTTCAAATCTGGCCACAATAAAACTTCAGCTTTAAATTCGGACACACATCAATCGAGATTCAAATATTTAAAATCTACAAATATTTGGGAATATTTAACAATTTAGTAGAGAAAATGCTTTAAATCAAGTTTGATCTCTCTCTCTCTCTCTCTCTCTCTCTCTATATATATATATATATATATATATATATAACCATTTTTTGATCACCTTTGGATATATGGGTAGTCTTTTCGTTGGTTAATAAAAAGGTAAGCTTTTGGCTGCAAACATCAGAAAAAAATTTGAACGTTCAAATTTCTTGATTTCTAGAGGGACATGTCTTACACCTTTTCCCATTATTTTTCTGGGCTGTCTACGATTGCCTTGCTTTTTGTTGAGGATGACATGTGCAAATGTAAGATTTACTTTGTGCATGATGAAATCAAAGAGTCTTAAGTGTAATTTATCCCTCCAACAACTAGCTGTGACATATAGGCCTCCAGAATATGATTCCATCACTCTAACAGCTTATACTCTGGAGGGGTCCAAAAATTGGTGAGAAAGTCGTTTGGCTTAAAATAGTTGTGGTAATACATCTCCTAAACCTCTTCTGTATTTATGGCTTTAAACTTCTGGCGCCTTGCCTTTTCTAACAACTGTAGCAATATGTATTCTTGAATGTGTCTATCCATCCATCTCATAAATGTACCACCCTAACCATACTGGATTTGATCCTTTTATTTTATGTTGGCTTCTTTTGCAAAAAAATATTTCTTTTCTTTTGTAATAACTAATAACTTGCATGTTTTTCTTAGTCACCAAGATTTTGTTCCACAAAGGCATTAACTCTCTTATTGGCATTTTATAAGTTTCATGGGATGCATCAGTAACATGAAGCTCCTGAAGGACTCCTCCTTGTTGTCCACCTATTTTGTCATGCTTGAAGTCATTCCTTTTCTCATGTTAACGGCTCTCGAAATAAACTGCTTCTTCCTGGTTCTTAGTGAGTTAAATGATGCACTACTTCTGTGCTCCTTTTGTGTTTTGACTAAGTTGGAGATGCAGTTATACTCATCAAATCTAGTTCCTCAAGTTCTATGATTTTCTGATAATTGTACCTGAAAGATTCTTCTGGACCAGATAGATTGGCTTGCATAAATTGTAGCTTACATAGAACGGAAGATAGCTTAACGTACTAAGAATGCACGATCTCATGTTTACTGAGATATACAATAGAGAAAAGGATAGCTTTGAACTCTCTTATCCCCCCAAACTAGCAGGAACTGGAGTCATCCTATGCATAGAGAAGGCATTAGCTCAGTCAGGGGTATCCAAGGAAGATGTAAACTACATTAATGCGCATGCTACATCCACATTAGCAGGAGATATTAAGGAGCATCAAGCTCTTCTCCATTGCTTTGGCCAGAATCCAGAGGTTAGATTACAGTTCTCTTATTGAAATACTGTGCCCACACCATTCCTCTCAGGTTTTCATTTCAGCTGTTTATCAGTCGCTGCTCCATGCTTTCAGTTGCGAGTTAACTCCACAAAATCTATGATTGGTCACCTGCTTGGAGCTGCTGGTGCTGTTGAAGCTGTGGCAACTATTCAGGTGCTGTTATCTCATAATCCCTCAAAGTGTGCTGCAGCTGCAATTCAGTTGCTTTCTAGTTTTTTTGTGTAACATCTCATCCAACTGTTTTCTTGCATAATGTTATATTTGGTGGCTGAAAATTGTGGTATAGCGGTGTGTGTAACCTGTTAGGTGACTTGTTACATTATTTAGGTGTCAGACTGTTGAATAGACTAAATCAATATTTTATTTATGTAACATCTAATTGAATTAGAGAAGGTCTTTATTAATTCACATATCATACTATTTTTCACAGTCCTTTAGGGGGGATTGCCGAATTGGGGAAGCAACAAATGATTTGGTTCTCCTTCAGACCTTAGTTACTTTTTGTGAGAGAACTTGTGGCTGCTAAGACAGAAAGCACAGCAAAAACTGTTTTACTGAGGAAGCTGCACATTTTTAAAATTTTATAACATGAATAGCTTTCCTTTGAATTTGAGTTCAATCATTGATATCATATACGGTAAAAGAAGAAAAGATATACATGGTTGTCACCGTCATTTGTGAGTGCAAAATGCAAATGTATGCCAATTGGTATAGAGGACACGTTGTGTGACCTAAAGAAGGGGGACGTAAAGGGACTGGCTGACCTTTTACAGAGAGGAAAATTAATAAATGTTACCTGCTGGTGTTAAAGATGTTGAACTGCTGCTCAATGTAACCTCAAGTAGACATAAATGACTCATAGGAATTGAAAAATCAACTGACTCCGATGCCATCCTTTAGAATTGTTACTCTTTCAAGTTAAAGAATTTCCGAAGGGTTATGATTTACTTCTGATCTACCAGTCTGAAGTGTTGAGCATAAACCTGGCAAGAGTAGCAGTAAGGATTTGGGTTTAGACCTGCATATAAAAAATGAAGAGCATGTCAAGATATGTGCAATATCTTGTTGATAGCTGCACCGTTTGAGATCCAAATCCTCCGTCTCCACTTTGTACAAAGTTCATCCTCTTAAAAAGGTGCTGTATAAATGATGGAACGGGCATGCAAGCATTAACTACCAAAGAATTAGTTTCTAGCCGAGGAATCTGGGTCCGCTTATTCAGCATATTCATCTTTGGAGCCTTAATGCTAATAGTGGTATAGACCAACTTAGTCAAGGTGAGGGTATGCAGTAAAATGAGTTCTTGTAATGTTTATTGTAGGCCGGAATATTGTGTCCTATGTAGTTTCTGATGCTTTTCATGTTGGATGGAGGTTTTCTTGTATTATCCTCCATCAAAAGACTACGTGTCAAAGTTACCCATGAATCCTTGCCTCGAAGTTAGATCGTACATGCTACATTAATTTGTTATCTGAAAATGTTGCTACAGATGTTATAAATGATAATGTAATACAGGTATTTTGCAATCAATGACTATGACAAATTTTTATGTACCAAAATTACTCCATTAGGCCTGGGTTAGGTCTTCTCTGATGTTTAGACTAGGGAAAAAGACATGACAATAATGACACTTCCGAGGTCTTTCTGTGTGTGTGTGTGTGTATTTGTAAAGAGGTTAACCTATACTAGACTCTTGGGTGTAATTTAAAAGTTTTTGGTAGCTAACTGTTTTATCATCAAATAATAGGGGAAAAAGATCTGGAGAAAGTTTATAGAAAGTTTTATGTACAAGGAAGACGTACCATATTCACAAGAAAAAGACAGCATACTTGTACAATACGTACCATATTCATAAAAGTTTATTGTATTTAGAATTTGAAAGAAGAAAACCATACTTGTAGAAGACATTTACAAGGAACATTGGGGTGGGAGTCTTGACACAATGCATAGGGGGGAACTTTCCATCGTGGTTATTTTGTTATTTAGAAATAGTTGCTTTTTGCGATCATTTTCGCTGCTGTGGCCTGTGAGTTACTCCAGCTTGAAGTTGGGAGCTCTAAATAATTGGAAGTAGAATAACTTCATAACCTGAAATTATTCAAATGCATGTTGATTGATTAAGCAAAAGAGCCAAATTGTCTGAGTTTTGTTATTATGTGGGTATACTCTTTTAATTTGGCTACAAATGGAGCTATAACAGTTGTTTTTCAAAAAAGGAATTGTAGGATAAGTGACTAACTATTTTGGGATAACTCAAGGATCATTTACTTCCTCGTAGTTGACAGGTGATGCACAGTGTAGTTGTAGTTAGACTAATGTCATCTCTGTTCTTGCATATGCTATGCAACGTAATATGCGCTAGACAGTGGAGAGGATGATGAAGATGGGCACTTTCTGGACATTTAGTTTAGCATTATGCGGATTCATGTTTTTGCTAATTTCTTGATGATAAATTTATCTGATAGAAACTAGATGTTGCAGAATTTATTCTTAAGGTGATTGATTATTGTGGATTTCATCCTATAAAACTCTCTTGGTTATATTTTTGAACGTGGCCCTTCTTTGTTTAACCTATGCAAAAATTATCTGGGTGGAATTTCAGACTGACAGTTAAATTGGGACTTTGCAGGCAATACGAACTGGTTGGGTTCATCCAAATATTAATCTTGAAAACCCAGATGAAGGCGTGGTAAGGATTTATCTTCTGTGCATTGTCAACGATTTCTTGTCATTAAGCATGGTTTATCATCATAACTATAGAATTGTATCAGATGAAAACTGCAAAGAACACTTGCGTGTCAAGAGTACAGAGTTGGTCACCCTTCATGGCTTGACTAGCTAGATTTAAGATGAAATTCACAGCTTTTCTGAATTCGTTGCTGTATCACTAAAAGCTGGTTTCCGGAGGAGTGTCGTATAGAAATGAAAAAACTCATGAGTTACAATGGCCATGTCTATTGGTTTGATTCACATTATCTGCATTAGTCGACTAATCTCTCATATTGCAAGCAAGACAGATTTCTTTATGTGATATGAATACAAAGCATATGATATGTCCTCTCTCCCGTGGTTCCCTATTGCACCTTTTCACCCTTAGTTGACCTGGTAATCACCGCAGCTGATGATATGTATATCTATGAAACAGGATACAACTAAACTTGTGGGTCCCAAAAAGGAACGACTGGATATTAAGGTGGCATTATCTAATTCATTTGGATTTGGTGGCCACAACTCATCAATCTTATTTGCTCCTTACAAGTAGATCTCTCGGGCAATGTTGGTGCATCTGACAGATACAAAAGGTATGTCGATTCATGCTTGTCTGTATTGAGGAAGTGAGAAAACTTAAAAAAAGGCGTGTATTTTGAAGAACATATGTTTCATTTGTTTCAGGAATATGGGGAAGGATCGTTAATTCCAGAGTCACTATGGACACTTTTAGAAGAGACCTGTGTCTCAAATGGCGGTGGTCGATGTAGAGAATTCCTTTTTAGATGATTGTTGGAGACAGAAGAACCTGAAGTGCAGAATGGGCAAAGGATCAACTTCTTCTCCATAGTGTGACAATCTCCTTATCTCTTTGCTAAACTGAAATCTTTTTTCTTAAATATCCTTGCACATAACAGCCAAATGATTTATGGAAACTGAGTTGGCGTATGACCTTTAGGTGGTTGCATATGGCCCTTAATACCTAGTGAACTAGTTTCCTTGTATAATCGGAGAATGCCATATAGTCTATAACAGCTTTTAGTTTTGCCTTTCCAAGATTTACTGCACTTGACATTTATTAATTTGAGTGGACAAACTCTTAATAACTTTCCGAAGGAGAGAAACGGGATGATTACATTTATATTCAATGAAGGTGTATGCGTCTTTAGCTCAGATTAGTGGATCACAGATATTTAACTTGATTAATACATATTTTGATCTAATTTGGATGGCGTAATATCATGAAATAGTTCGCACACGAGCATATGTTAACCAGACTGGAAAAATATTATGTTAAGACTATACTTCGTGTACCAATTAAACTGTAAATTCGCGGATCAGAAGGGGCCCTAATAAAAGAACGAGCCTATTTGCTGAATTGAGTACGTTGCGTTGCAACAATTGGTTGGATAGAAACTTGAGGCAGCTGAACTTTTCTACTATCAAAACCACGTGCTAAAAGGAAATCTCTCTGGGTTGCAACAACAATCTCGAAAAATTTAACAAATCACTTGTGACTCACATTCTTTCATGCACCAACATATTGCAATTTGAAAGAATATAACAAAGAACCAACTTAAATAGCTAGCATTTGACACATACGATAATTTCCCTATGGCAACTACGTATACTCGATTTCCTTCCTACCTCCTTTTCCTCGACATTCCTATCCCAACAACCATACCACTTCAACACGCGATATACATGGACCAATAAAATAAAAAGGTCACTAAAAAAAGAACACGGGGTGCCGGATTGCCAAAATCTAATGAGCCTCTGGGCGGAGCTCTCCATTTTGACCTAGCATCCAGAAAGCAAACTTCACCTCAACGTCTTTTTGGAGCTGGCTTTCTTTTTAGTCTTGACTCTCTTTGCGGACAGTATGGATGATGCACTCTTGCCTTCAAGATTCTTTGTTAGCTTCACAATGCTTGCCATTCCTTTTCGTGCTGCTGCCTGATGTTCAGGCCTACGGCTCATCATCTTGCGGTCAAGGGGCCAGTAGGCATATGGCTCAAGTTTGTCTTTCCTCTTGACATCACCACCTGCCTTCTTGCTTGCATACTCTGTTCCAGTGTAGGCCCATCCTGAATCAGACGTTTTCCTCCGTTTCTGAGTTTTCCTTGAGCTCTCAGAAAAGCGACTTCCTGTTTCGCTCCTTGCATCAAAATCATTAGTAGGTGGCTTGACTCGTTTTTGCTTCTTATCTCCCTCTTGAATAATCAAACGGCCTTCAGAGTCTATTTCTGCTTCATCTTCTGACTCAGACTTCCGCTTGAGATTGCCAGATCCTCTAAGAGCTGACCTGGTCTTCTTCTGGTCAAGCAAGTCAAGTGGCTCGTCGTCTAATTGATCATACAGATCTTCCTGCAAACTCCTGGCTGCTTTCCGTGTTTTCTTGGACCTGGAAATATGGCATACAAACACTCATCTTACATGTGAAATATAGTCTAAACTAGAAAGCATCACTAAAAATTACACTAGCTTCCACCGACTGTAAAACATCCTCAGGACGATAAATAGTAACCATTACATATTAAAACATTCCCACTGACCGTAATAAAGATGCTTTGGAGTCTGATACTAATGTAGCCTTGCTCCTACGACCAGTAGTAGTTTTTGCGTCCATATATTCTGCATCACTATTCTCAGATCCATCATCGTACTCAGAAAAGATTTTTGTATGATTCCATCTGCTTAGCCTGTAACAGGACACAAATGTTAATACCATAGGTATTTAAACTAATGCTTGAAAAGTTACCAAGGCACTGAAAATAAGAGCTTCTTATCCATGCAGGACAAAAAAGATTAGTGATCCAAAGAGCCATAGTCCACCTTGGGATAAATCTGAATATTGAATATTGGTAACCGCCAAAAAGAAAGGCAAATATTTTTTTTTTGCTGATAAATAAACTTGTCCAAATCAACAGAGGTAAATAAAATACTCCAATATATCTTAGTTGCTTCCCATGTGTCAAGCATCAAATATTCTTCTGTGTATTATTCTCAACTTCAGTATGCAGGTATATAGAGGAAGGAGAACAACCTTGATGTTGTTGCTTTTGACATATGAGATCTGCTTTCCTCAGAATTCGACGCGAGTTTCCTATCACTTCGCTCCTTGATCTGCTTTTTCATCAGAAGAATAAATAACTCATCTGAACATTTAATATCCCACGAGCATTTTCACAGGTTTAATTCCAGTTCATAACAAACCTTTCTTATATTAGTAAGGAGTTTCATGTGATCTTCAGGCATCACCTGTTTTACAGCATCCAGACCACACTTCTTGATAAGCATTTCAATAAGCAGCTTAACCTATGAAAGATAACATGCACGCAACCAACTTTCAATCAACAAGCCATCTTTATAACAGAAAAGAGATTTCAAAAACCAAAATTATATAAGACCATGGAAGATGAACTAATTGCATACAGGAACCAAAACCAAATGAAAACACAGTAGTTTAGGATCTAGGAGAAAAACAAAACCTTCGCTTTGAAATGCTTCTTGGTATTATTTTCCCAACCAAGAAGGGCCTCTACCATGCTCCTTAAATGTGCTTGTAGTCCCTCAGCCGGCGACTTTGTGACCAGTACCTTCAATAGCCCTAAATTAGCCTGCATTTAAGACAAGTTTCAGGTGAGAAAAACTTCAGAATATGGCAGGTGAACACTGGTTTTTCACAATGTAGTCTTAATGCAGACTAGAACAGACCTTAATTATTTCTTTGTTCTCTCTCTTAAGGAGAAGAAATGTTGATGGAAGGACACTGTACGCAGCAGAAACAAGGTCGGTGAATTCATAAGCCAGGCGAGCTACGCCTTTAACTGCTGCACTGATCATATGAGGTGTATCTCCAGCAATACCCCCAGCAACCTGCAAGTGAAAATGCCAAGGACAAAAGTGCCTATGTCAAACAGAAAGAGCTCACTCCATTACGTAAATTCATCAAATTATTACTTATCGTACCATAGTAAAAAACTGATGCAGGTTCTCCTTTCTGCCACCTCTTTCTTCATCCCCACAAGCATGGCCAATCTGGACAAGAAGCTCGTACGCTCGGTTCCTTGTTTTCTTGTTAGCCTTACATGGAATCCTCGAAAATCTCAGTACAGGAATTAAATAACTAAAAATGTTTTACATTTATAAACCGTTCTTCCACCTAGCAGCCAAGACTAGTTAACGGTGAGAAAGTTATTAAGTTACCACAAAATTCTAAAAGCTCTCATAGCAAAATGATCATGAAGAAGATAGTAACTGTTTTAAGCACTAACTTGACCCTTTTGCTAAGTTACCCAATCCTAAAGAGAAATCAAAGACCATTAATCGAGGCTATAAGTAACAAAACAATCTTTTACCCGGGATTTTGTGGTAATTCAAGGACACAAACCACATGAACTAATAACAAAAATAAGGAGAAGAATGATGACAGTTGGAAAATGCAGAGCTCAAGAAAATGATAAAAGTCCACGAATTTTGGAGTCGAGTATCAGCAGAAGGAACAAGATTAACTGTAAACTGATGGAATTAAAGAGGAGAGAACAAAAATGTGGATACTGAGTGTAGTTTGTACAATCGTTTTCCATCCGGGACCTACAAAATTTAATGCTTAGCCCACTGTACTTCAGAATGCCGTTTCACATGCAAAGACTACTTAACTTATAGCATGAATAGGCTAGAGACTTCTAAAAGTTAGAGGACATACTTCAAGCCTTGGGGAAAAAAAAATTATTATGAAAACCTTGATAATAGCTAGCAACTTGTAGCCACTGCAATTAGCAAAAGGCTCAAACTTGATGTTAGAATAGCAAAAAGACAAGAGATATTAATAGAGCATATATTTCCTATAGATTCATCCCTCTATGCCAACTATGGGAGAAAAATCATTGAGGATAAATGGGCACATTTACAGCAAAATAAATTCCTTTGGAAAAAAAAGGGGAAACTTACACAAATGTCCCATATAAATCTCAACTTACCAACCTCTAGTCATTAGTCATAGACTTACCAAAACTAGCCAACAAAAATTGAAAACCCAAATAATAGGGTTCTTTCTATCAAAGAATCACATGCAAAAATCACCTTCTATATTTTTAAGCGTGATTAGCAACATTAGATACAAGACGGAAAGGAAATTTCATGGACGGGGTAGCAAATAAGGTGATGAAATATAAAAATCTATACAATATTCCAAAAATCTAAACAAAACAGGAACTTTTTCAATGGGTATAGTTGAAATCCATTGAAAATATATAGATAAGTCAATATACAAAATTTGAGGAAGATTGGAGGTGATTTGGACTAGTTTTGTATCAAAATTCTTAATTAAATCGAGTTCAAAAAAGTCTTCTGCGACACATGTATCAAACATGTATCACGCATGTATCTCACACACAGGTATACATGGATATACACGTGATACACAACTGATACAAATATGATACATATGTGATACACAAATGATACACATCATTTTTTCCATGTTCAGTTTTTACTTCGAATTTTCAATTCAAACCACCTCAAAACTTCAGCAAATCATCCCAAAAATTGAGATTCAAGCTCCTTAAGTTGTGCCCAATCTATTCTAATAACACTCACTCAAAACAAAGCAAAAATTTGAAATTTTTTTGCTACAAATAGCTAATTGGCTAATTTGGCTAATATTAGTAATATTTTATCAATTGGCCAATTTTTGTAATGAGCTACTTATAAATCAACATAGCTGGTAATTTATACTAGTCAGCTCTATAGCAGATGAATAATAGACAAACCTCTTTGAGTGCAAGCAAAATTTCAGTCATAAAAGAAGTAATACTGTCCCGCCTCCTCTGTTCTGGGTCATCCTGTAGAATGCAATGAAGTGTAAAAAACTATGCAATGCTATGAATCTGCACAAATCTGAGGCGTCACTGTTTTATCCACAAGAGGATATGTGTCACCTTTGTAACATGGACAATTAAAGAGTATAGGCAGTCAAGTCTGTAACGTTTGGCTGAAAAATGATTTGCAGGTAGTGCTTCAATCATCAAATTAAGCAACTTTTCGGTACTTCTTGAAATAAATTCATCTGATTCCTGTCCAAAGAAGATGCAAAACTTATTAGCCACAAAACAAATGTGCCAAAAATATAAACGAGAAATCATAAAGAGAGGTGCTTTAACAGTAAAGCTCAGATTACTTTCTTCAGAACTTGTACCACTTTTAATCTGAATCTTTTCAACCATGCCAATGATATTTCACTTACTCAACTAACAAGTTATTTATACAAATTGTTTTAAATTTTTTGGACATCGCCATCCAGTCCTACATACGTTAGAAGAATACTGAGAAGAAACAACAACAATGCCTTTACATGCTATTTGGTGATAACACTTACCCGAAGCATGATGGAAAGAACTTTATATGCCTTCTTCTGGATCAAGCCTTCATCATCCTGTGCCTTACACTAGTTATTAAATCTTCTACATCAAAAAACTGAAAGGTGCAGAAGCAAACACATAACTGACACCAACCATTAAAGCAGGCTCTATTGCACCAAACAGTGCATTAATATGCTCAGCATCTAAACCAGGCAAGAGCGAAACCGCCAGATCAAATAACTGTGCCCTAAATGATAAGAAGCAAGAGATATTGATTCAGTTAACACAAAGGAAAAAGGACTTTGACAGCAGAAGGAATGAAACAAATGTGATTTTGATCATCCTACCTCTTTAGCAACAAAGAACTTTCACTGGATGAGTCATCAATCTGCATTGAATTGGAACTTCTGGCCTTCTCTGCCTTCCCAGACTCTTGAGTCACCTTCAAAAGCTCACGCATGGTCTTCATAAAGAACTTTCTTACTTCCTCCTTGTCAGCAATAGGGGCCAATTCACGGATTGTGCTCTGTATGTAATACGCATATTGTTCGAAAAGTGAGCTAACAAGATATTTTCCAATCATTTTCTTACAAAAGATAAGTAATGCTTTCAGGTCTGACGACTTCGGGAAAAACAGCCAATACACCAAATTATGGTCTGTATAAGTACATGTATCATAGATGGGCTAAAAAATTTGTGCGGTAATTATTTTGACCAAGTAAAAAATTCAGGCATACTGAACCACAGAAAGAAAATGCAAGTGTACACTGTATCACAAAATATGAATAACATACAAGCTTTGGTTTGCCAATAACAGACCTTGTCAACAGCTTAAAAGAAATTGAAATACTATAACATACATCACCTCTAATGAAAAATGTGACAAGACTACCAAGTGACAGCATTTTAAATCTGACGGATAACTAAAAACACAATTTTTTAAAAATTACTGAATTACACAAGCAACAAGGATAAGGAGAACCTTACATAGAGACCTTTTAAATCAACAAAATCTACTACCTCCATAACAATAACAATGGCTGGTTTGGAGCAAATTTATCAAACCAACCAATCCTCAGTCTAAAACGCAGATTAAAATACTTTTTGCAAGGAAAAAACCTTATAGATTAGGTATAAAATAATGTTAATAATTAATCAACAAAGGTTTGTTTAATTAAAAACTTCAACCTGAATATAAACGATTCAGTCAATAGGGGAAAGGATCCATTCATGTGTTGAGTCTTGTTTGACTGAAAGATGTGGCCTTTTGGATCCCATTGCTTGATAACATCTTTGGAGTAGTAAAGAAAAGATGTGGTCTTTTTTCTTTTGTATTAAGTATAATGCCTTGGATAGCACTAAACACATATGAGCAAAGTGGTCGAAATGGCTACAAGGACACAGAAAAAACTGTTGGAGGATATGTTTCCAGCAGCCTCTTTGGTTTCTTACATGCTACTGAGAGAATTTGCAGATATAGAATGCAGTTTTTTCTTCTTTTTTTTTCTTTTTCTTTTTCCATTGTAGTGTTTCACTATTTCTCTAATGCAGTTGTGACTGTGATCCAAAGATTCATATATCAGTTAAAACACTAACAAAAGAAATTCATCCATCTGAGTATCTACATTGGCACATTACCATCCCCATGGGGTAATAATACCCTTTTTTACATTACCTGCAAAGATCCACCAGTATCCTTAGAGGATTTTCGAAAGACTCCGGAGAGAACAGACAGCAGTTTAGGAGCCGAAAGACTCAATGCATTCAAGTTATCACGTGCAACTTGCTGGTTATAACGCGCAATGGCTCGTTTTTTGGGAACGCTCATTTCAGTATCAGACAAATCCACTTTTCCTTTTGAAATGCTATCGTTCTGCTGAATGAGGATCTGCAAACTGGAGCATATTATCCCACAAACATCAGGCTCTTCCCGTAAAGCTTTGCTCAAAACTTTCTCCAAATCCTTAAAGCTTTCAGCAGTGTCCACAGGGTAATTGCAAAATGAGGGTAACAACGACCACAATGAATACACAATTCCATCAACGGTTCTCGCAGAATAAATCTTTCCCTTGCTCTCGAGCTGCCACAAAGCATAATAATGAGCTCAGTGTAAATAAAAGAGGGGCACAAGAGGTGTCATTTAGCATAAACATACCATTGCAGACCTCTGCTTCATAGCTCCAACCATCGACAAAATTGAGTTGGTAAAGAAACTTAAATGCGCACCAACGATGTTTTGCTTTAGAATTGGGAAAAGCCAGATGTTGGACTCCGATAAATCTTGCGCGTCCAATTTAAGAGGAAGAAGAGTTAGAAAAGATTCAGGTCCCATTGCACCAACAGCTGATCCAACACATTCGTGCAGCTGTTACCAACAAATCCTTAAATCAGCAGTGTATTCTATCGGATAAGAAAATGCTATAGCTAGACATATGCTCACAAATCATATCCCAAAAGAACATTAAGGAACTAAAGAAAAAAGCAACTCAACAAGGGAAAAGGTCCCCAGCTAAGATGCAACCTATACTTCCACTGATAACGGTTAGGGACCCTTATCAGTCTCTGCCAATTATATTTTGGGGAAGCGGAGTAATTTGACAAACTAGCCAAGCAGGTCCCGGGCTTACATATTATCATGGTTTTCGTTCCTCACTGGATCCAATTTCAGGCGAGAAAGAAGATCCACACAAAGCAAAACCGTGCTTGGGCAAAATATCACGCATACTCCGCACAAGGTAAACATAGCCTCATCGGAGAAGACAATAACTATTAATGTTTCAGAAAACAGCATTACTTTCAGTAATAAAGTGATCACCAACGAAAATGTTAGCATGTTAGTTAAGTCAACCTTACTATGACACTTATAATTTGTGTCAAACAGATGAATACAAATTCATTGCACTGAATCACATAGACGGAATTAGTGATGATATGGACAGATCAAGAAGTTGACCTGACCTCATTTGGAAATTGATGGTGTTGACGAAAGACAAAAAGGTCGGACAACCCCACTAAATGCACCATCCAAAAGTCAAGAACCATTATAATAAGTGATCAACACACATTCATTGATTATATCTGTACATTTTTATGGGTTTTTAAAGTATATCTCACACTTGTAAATAAATTAATCGCATAACATAAACTCCAAAGACTATGCCAGGAGCAGCAGACACTGATAGGGGTTCGCAATCTTCCTTGGATCCCGAGAAAACAAAAAGACAATCATCAGCCGAAGGAGTTCGCTGATCCGTTCTTCTTGTCTGGTCTCAATTCCTCTTTATCTTTTTTCCTCAAATGTCTCTATCCTATATTTTTCTCTGTCATTTCTCAAGTTGGTACCAATCAGTCCTGTTTCTCTTTTCTGTCAGAGGGTCTTGGCCAAAACTTTTCTATTACAGCATCAATCCAAGATGTCTTCAAGCCAGAAGGACTCCATTGTCTCTACATCTAATGCTTTCAGGAATTTCCACACAAACTTCACCTATATCTGCTCAAAACTACTTATCAAGTTCTATTATTTCCTCATATAGCGAATCAGGTTGATCTGGATAGAAATCCAAATACTTAAATTTTAGTTCGCTTCCTTTCCTTTGTCCAAACAAATCTATTCAGAAAACCTGCAATGCCCTCTCACCATTGTGATAAATTTGATTTCTTAAACTATTTAATCAAATAAATTTAGATGCATGTAAAATGTTAGCCTATTCTCCAATGAAAAAACATTACCTTATTTTTACCAATCAGACAATCTTTTATTAGTTTTTAGCCAATCTAATCATTTTTGTTTGTTTATACTGCATCTGCCATGACTATTTCCTTTTTCTTCTTTGATTGATAGCATATGCCATGACTATTTAGTTTGTAATTTTTCCTTTTCGGTCCTAGTTTCCAGATACATAATTGTATTTGTTCATTTGCAAATTTCGAAGTATTAGGATCATAAAACATCAGGCTTAAAATTGTGAGATCTCCATTAGACTCAATGTCTTAGGAGCAGCTGCATTCCTGCATCATATTAATTTCTAAAAAATTGAGGCTTTGAAAATCGAAACATTAGACCATCTAATAATAGAGAAGTCAAATTTGATCATCAATTCAAATTGTCACACAGAGATCAAATAAAAAAAGCAACTGAAACTGTTGTCGAAAAGGTCAAATCGCAAAATAGCGGCAGCACCAGAATAACTAGGGGCGGAAAAAATAAATACAATAACTATGACGCCTCAGTACCAAACAAGTTGATGACAAAAGGCATTTCCATGATTAAGCAGGCCCCAAAAGCAAGGCTCACCTGTCTACGGTAAGTGAAGTCTTCATCTGGCAACTTTTGCATATCAGCCAAACTCTGAAGTGTTCCCTTCAGAAGGTGAGAAGAATAGTGACCTAAAAGAAATCAACAAAGAGAACCACTTCACTTGACATTCCTTGGTTGATATATAGAAAGAAAGCAACACAAAAAAGCATATCTAGCTCCCTGTATCACCAATTGCATCCAGTGATTGGGATACAATATTCAAGATAAAGAGTACTAGCCCGTTTGGCCAAGCTTCTAAAATCAGCTTATTTTGAGAAGTGCTTTTCTCAAAAGTACTTTCTAAAAAAGTGCTTTTGGTGAGAAGTAGTTTGTGTTTGGCTAATTAATTTGAAAAGCACTTTTGAGCAGTAATTAGTGTTTGGCCAAGCTTCTGAAAACTGCTTCAAGTGTATTTTTCTCAAAAGTGCTTCTCAGAAAAGTGCTTTTGGAGAGAAGCTACTTTTTTCTACTTCTCCAAAACTGCTTCTGCTTCTTCTCAAAAGCACTTTTTTTCCTTCCAAAAGCTTGGCCAAACACCTCAATTTTTGGCCAAAAGTGCTTTTGGCAAAAAAAAAAGCACTTTTGGCCAAAAAAAAGCTTGGCCAAACAGGCTATACATATGTGTGCAGACACACACCCATATTTGGGAAGGGGGTGGATTAGGTGGGAAGGGGGGTGGATTAGGTCAGAAGCAGCTGACAATGTTCATCACTTACTATTGGCATAGTCAGTAGTAGCAGTAAAAAAAAGAACAGCTCGGTGCACTAAGCTTCCGCTATGCACGGGGTCCGGGGAAGGGCCAGACCGCAAGGGTCTATTGTATGCAGCCTTATCCTACATTTCTGCAAGAGGCTGCTTCCACGGCTCGAACCCGTGACCTCCTGGTCACATGGCAGCAACTTTACAAGTTACATAGTCAGTAGTAGTAGTGATGCAGCTAAAATTAAGAAATGAGGTTCAATTAAATTATACCGTGCAAGTAGGGTAAATACAATTTCTTTGTATATATATAAATTGTTGAATCGACTTAACATAAGAGAAGTTCTAGATATGGCATTATTTTTAAATCCCCTTACAACTCCTGGCTGCACCACTAATCAGTAGTAAAATATTAGGAAAGCAAGAAGCAATAATAAAGTACTCAATTTTATCAAATTGAACTTCATTTTAGGAAGTCCAATTCCATGGAAATTGATTTGAATAAGTGTCAGATACTGTGTAGACAGAATATTTTAGATCATTCAACAACTAGAAATTAAATATAGAGATTTACAACTTAAGATGGCTAAATTTTTTTTATAGAAAAGATAATAAGCAGTGCAATCACCTAGCTTGTCAAACATGGCAACCACTACTTGAAATGACATGTCCCAGACTGCTGCATAGTGATAGGTAATTAAGCTCTCAATTGTGGCACAGATTTTTTCAATGATAGTTGGTCCAGATTTCCTCATATCAGTATTAGAACTAATTATGTCATCCACACCCTGTTTGATCAAGTTTTCATCAATGCATTCATGTATTAAGCTCTTGAGTGCCTCCAGTGCAGCCCTTATTGCTTCCTCGTGCTCAGAACCCAGAACATCTGAGAGACCATAAATAACAAAAAGTAATGGTCAAACAATAACTATCAAAATCAGAACAGAATTTATAGGTGCAGTTGAAAGCCTTCTTTTTGCGGCATGAAACAGATTGATTCTTATTGTAATCCATGCAAGGTAAGGAAATAGGAAAAGGACCCACCACTAAGAGAGCTGAACACCATAGGGAGCTTAACCACGCATAATTGCCTGTTAATCGAATATACTCTTTTCATCCCAATGCCAAGCAAGCGAGCTATGAATGTCAGAGTATCAGCAGATGACTCATTCACAGAAACTGAAGTAGCTAATGAACCCAAGAGGTCCAGAAGCACTTCTGCGGATACTTCTGCTGTCGGATGGATACAAAGAGCACTCAAACCATCTGTAATGCGCCTATTAACAAGAGGCTGATGCAACTCCAGTAGAGACTTGAAGTACTTCAAAGTACTATTCGAATACTTTGAAGACATATAAGGAAGACAAAGTTTCAGAGCATCCAGCACGTGTAAGACTTGTTGTGCTCCTTTGGGTCTTTCAGAAGCATTTCCAGTTGTTCCTCCTGCAAGTAGAAGGGACCTCTCGAAGAGATTTGTGATGGCTTCACTTGCAGGTGCCAATAGAGGAGCAAGCATAGGTGATGCCTGAAAGTTTTGCAAGACATCAAGAATGCAACTATGCGACATCTTTCTCACCTGCTCCATCGATCAATCCAAACAAGAAGAAAATTCAATGTCAGTATACTTGACCTTCCTAACTTTTGAGTTGAAGCATTATGTAAATGCAAAGAATAGTTAGAATACTATCTGTAACATTACAAGTAAACAGATATCAAATTTTTATACTATAGTTTCCCTGTTCTCTAAATTCTGCTTTCATGGGGAATTGAGATCCATGTATCTTATAAATTTTTCATTCAACTGCTTTAATTGTAGTATTTTCTCATTCTTTGTTTTCAGAGGCGGATCTAGAATTTAAATCCTATGGGTTCAACTTTTAAGGTTTTTAGCATTGAACCCATTATATTTTTAAAGTTATGGGTTCATATTCACTATTTTTGCAATTTTAATGAATTTTTACATATAAATTTTTACTCTACATCAAAAGTTACGGGTTCAGTTGAACCTGTTAGTTGTTCACTACATCCGCCTCTGTTTGTCACGCAACTTGATAACAAAATAATCTCAAATCTAAAAGAGTAACTTCTCCTTGTAGTAACTATTATGGAATCTAAACAACAAAACAACAACCCAGTATAATCCCACAAGTAGGGTCTGGGGAGGGTAGTCTGTACGCAGACCTTACCCCTGTCCTGGGGGTAGGGAGGCTGTTTCAGAATAGACCCTCGGCACAAGAAGATGAAATGCGACAATAGAATAGTAACAACATCACCAGAAAGATAGTACCAGCGAGCCACGAGTCAGAAAATATACTTGGAAAAGCAATATCAATAATCAATGCAGTGACAAGGTCCTAGAAAATAGTACGAGCACAACACGAACCTCTGGCATACTAAAACACGACACTGACCGACTCGACTTACACACAGAACAGTGTAGAAAAACGCTCAACTACCTACTAACCTTCAACCCTAATGCTCTCCCTCCATACCTTCCTATCAAGGGCCACGTCCTCGGTGAGCTCAAGTTGCGTCATGTCCTGCCTGATCACCTCTCCCCAATACTTCTTAGGCCACCCTCTACCTCTCCTCATACTCGTCAGAGCCAATCACTCGCACCTCCTAACCAGGGCATCTAGGTTTCTCCTCTGCACGTGCCCGAACCATCTAAGCCTCACTTCCCGCATTTTGTCTTCCATGGGAGTCACACCCAACCTTGCTCGAATATCTTCATTCCTAATCTTATCCAACCTCGTGTGCCCGCACATCCATCTCAACATCCTCATTTCTGCTACTTTCATCTTCTGGATATGGGCAATCTTAACTGGCCAACATTCTAACCCATACAACATGGCCGGTCTAACCACCGCCCTGTAGAACCTGCCTTTAAGTCCCGAGGGCACCTTCTTGTCACACAAAACGCCATATGCTAACCTCCATTTCATCCAATCTGCCCCTATACGGTGTGTGACATCCTCGTCGATCTCCGTGTTCCCCTGGATAATCGACCCAAGATACTTAAAACTTCCTTTCTTGGAGATGACTTGTGAATCAAGCCTCACATCGCTGTCCACTTCCTCCGTAACATCGTTGAACTTGCACTCCAAGTATTCAGTGTTAGTCCTGCTCAACTTGAAACCTTTTGATTCAAGGGTCTGTCTCCAAACCTCTAGCCTCTCGTCAACACCTCCTCGCGTCTCATCAATCAGAACTATATCATCAGCAAATAACATAGACCATGGCACCTCCCCTTGAATATGGTGCGTCAGTGCGTCCATTGCCAGAGCAATATTATGGAATCTAAAAAAGGATCAGAATTGCCGGGCATGGCTGTACGCCAATAACCTTTTGAAATAAACATAACATTACCTTAACTATCAACTCACAAAAATATCATTCTGCTCATATACACATCTTTTATGACACAATCATTATAACTTGGGTACCACCATGACTGTTGAAATCAAAAAAGTTATCAAACTGTAGATCCTGTAAACATGCATCCTACTTATCATATCACTACATAGGAAACTTCTAAGCTTGTGAAAGCACAGTCTATTACTTAGTTGATAAAGCTATCTTGTTCTTCAAAAACCTTCTTTTACTATGGTGCTAACGCAGGATACAAGAACCTGGCTCAACCTTTGCTCTAACAAGAAACCTGGATTGAAGTGAATAATATCAAGATCGACATTCAAGAGAATAAACCATGAAAACCCATTCCTTAAGTAGCCCCTTCCCATGTCATGAAAATACTGTTCCCCATAAGATTATCTCAAGTCACCTTTCCGGCATGAATTTAACTTATATGCACCGACAATGTAAATAGTGTATTTTCGCCTATTATAAAAGATTGATTTTCATTTCTTAAGACTGGTGTTGTCAAAGGCTCATATAAGGCGCAGTTGAGCCCTTAGCGCTTCGCGTGGCTTAAGCCCCACTTCAGTGTAGGCAAGCACTAAGGCATGAGCCTCATTGCCCACGAGTTCTATCTAGAATCGAGTTGTACTAAACAACGAATATAATAAGCAAATAAGGCATTAGTTGTTGAGGGGAACATTGTGAATGAATTTGTTTCTTTTTTCTTGAATATATATATATCTATATTATTATAAAAGCATGAATACGATGTCGGATTACAAAAATAACCTTAGAATATTAAGCATAATAACTCATAAAAAAGGATATAGCCGGAATTCTAGATATTAGTCTTATAATCCTATTAGTTTTAGGACATAATACTACACATTATGAATCCTACATGATTACCTTTAGGAATGCTCTTAGTATAATTACTTTCGGGCATAGCCATATAATACTACACGTTGTACATACATCTCATCATCTTTTATGTTTTGTTTAATAATTTAAGTACAAAAAAATCTAAAAGGAGCGTGTATAGCAAGCTTCAAACAATTGTGGGACTTACATGTCGTTTATTAAAAAAAAGGAACTTTCAAATAGTATTTTAAAAAATCCATTTATCATAAAACGATTAAAATTTCAAGTTTAAAGTGGTAATATATTCATACTTCACTTCAAAGTCCTTAATATTAAGTTATTTCTAACTTAATTAGTGATAGGCTACAACATTTTGCCATTGTTCAAAATTTACGCACAAAAAATAATTGAGGCCATTAGCAAAACGGTTTCATTCTAGAATTATAATTGCAATTAATTTTAAAGTCCTAATATGGTAAAGTTTTAACTTTGACAATTTTATCCAACATAGGATTATCCATCGAAAGATATAGATATTAGATAGATAGATATAGATAGATAAATTACATTCGGGATAGATACGTATTTTTAGTTATGTAATCCTATTACTTTTAGGATATACTTCTTAAAAATTTCTATTACTAATTAAATTTGAAAATGTATTATAATGTCCTATTACTAATTTAATTTGATAATATATTATATTGTCCAAATTTATTTAGAAAAAGAAGAGCCTATATTATTATCAAAATAATAGTACAAATAGACCAAAATAACCATAAAATATTAAATGAAAGAACTCATAGGAAAAGGACATAACTGCAATAACCTATTTGTTGGACTACAATATCTTCTACGCTAATGTTTAATATTTAAGATTTTAAAATTAATAAAATTCTATTTATTAAATTCTTATTATAAATATGTAGGAACGTTTAATAAAATTAATTTCATAAAAATTAATCCTCTGTATTGGCAATACATTACCACTCCATAATGTCCAATACCCACAAAAAGGTAATATTAAATGGACTGCATAAAAAGTTAAAATTGAGAAGAAATAAAAATACCCCCACGATAATATATTTTTATATTATATTTGAACTACTTTCCTACTCAAATGATAATTTTTAAATCAATTTTTCTTGTAATATTGAAAAATATCCAATTATTAAACAACAACTAAGAAAATATTTAAGAATATAAATANTTACTTTTAGGATATACTTCTTAAAAATTTCTATATAATGTCCTATTACTAATTTAATTTGATAATATATTATATTGTCCAAATTTATTTAGAAAAAGAAGAGCCTATATTATTATCAAAATAATAGTACAAATAGACCAAAATAACCATAAAATATTAAATGAAAGAACTCATAGGAAAAGGACATAACTGCAATAACCTATTTGTTGGACTACAATATCTTCTACGCTAATGTTTAATATTTAAGATTTTAAAATTAATAAAATTCTATTTATTAAATTCTTATTATAAATATGTAGGAACGTTTAATAAAATTAATTTCATAAAAATTAATCCTCTGTATTGGCAATACATTACCACTCCATAATGTCCAATACCCACAAAAAG